AACCATTTTGTTCATTAATTTTGTCGTTGCTTTCTGTCAGCGAGCAGAACACTTTGTTCAGTGTGATCGCGCAATTCGCTTTGAGTTGCGGAGATCTCATGTTTGAAATTGAAAAGATCCCATTCGTTTTATTCTTTTGACCCTTTGTANCCCTTTGTAGTTTACACAGATTTCACCGTACATTACTCCCACCTCAATGTGTTGCTGAATGTCACTAGCGAGTGCCATTTTTTGAAATATTTCATTTCCGAATGAGGAGGAACTACAGAAAGAACATTCCAGTTCACTTTGATTTACCTGCGCATTCAGTAGCCTGCCAAAAATAAGGTACCTGAAATATTAAAAGGTCTTTTTACGTATGCATTTTGTTTAAACATATCCCCCTTAATTACAGAGGAATGTGCTCCAAAAACAAGCCCATTTTCGGAGGTTGTTGCATTGTCTCATTACATTACTTGAGATGGGGATTAATAACATAAAAACAAAAGGAAAATTAAAAATTCACTCATATGACCGGTTTCTGACCTCACTTTGGTCATCACAGAAGAATGTTATTTCGGATCACGAAGGAGGGGGGATATTTATGTGGCATTCGGCTACTAAGGTTATAATTTAAAAAGCCCAGTGTCGAGTTGGAAGGAATCGTCCATTTATAGAACACCATAGCATCAATAAGATTAAACAGAAAGAAACTCCTAATTGGCAACAGTGGTTCAGTATTTTCATGAATGTCTCGTAATTGGTGAAATTCAGTTCACAGTTTGTTTGTCTCTGTTTAAGCTCCAATAACAAATCATCCCAACCACTTGCATATGAAGTGAAAATATAACAGTCGCATGTTTGTGTGCGCATTAAAGGAACTATTCACTCTTTACCAGCAAAAATTAACACAGCACTGACGTCTCCATCCTGAAAATACGTACTAACTCATCTCCGATGGAATAAGTTGGTGGGTCTAATGAACAAAGTTTGACGATGTGACAGGGAGTTTGATTCCTGACGACGTTTTTGTGTACGGCCATTCTGCTCGTTCCGCCTATAGCGCTAATACTTTGATGTCCACGCATGGTATCGCTTGTCTCCTGGAACGTGTAACCTAGATGTGCTTCTAGCCTACTGTACATGAAAGTTGTCTTCTAGAGGGTAACTTCGTTGAGCCAGGGTCGCTGATGTGGCTTCCGACGTCGTACTTGTACATTGCTTCTGATACTATTAGAAGTGCACCTGTTTTGAGTTTCATTTGTATTCTTATCTTGCTCACTGTTTTACCCTACGATCTGAAAAAGCAATGCGTTGGTCTGTCATGATTTCAATGGAGTTAGCTCAACTTGCTGCGCTGTCAAACTGCTGCATCCAGTTGCCAACTATTTCCAGTTCTGTATCCCAGGTTTTCGTTGACTCATTTGACCTGGTTTTGGCTTGTTTCAAACGAAAATGGCTCTATCTGATCACTAACCAGGTCTTCCAGTTTTGTCGTAACTCTCGTTGATTGGCGTCTGTGCCCTTCAGGTGACTGGAAGGCCTTACATTNGTGAGAATGTAGCCATGGTTTTACCGGCATTGGTTACCTGAGCCTCCTCCCACAACTCATCGAAATTTCGAACGTTGAGTACGAAATAAAAATGACCCAAACCAAACGTATCTCAGGGCTGTCGCTATAGTGCGTGAAGGCGTGCGTGCGTGATCAAGCCCCAACACTCGGCATTTATCCATTCGAATAAACAAAAGCACACCGAATGCATGTAGATCGAAACGCTTTCACTTAACTTACACACACGCCCGAAAATTAATAAACCTATGCACTTCTGCGGCATTTTACCAGGAATAGTTTTACTAGAAAACAAATTAAAAAGAAGTTTCTAGGAAGGAGTAAGGGTTGACGGCGAAAACATTGGATGGTGTAAGCGCATTCAGAACAACTTTTTTTTCATACTCATAGGTCATTTTTTGACCTCTTCAATTGCTTTGCCAGATAGGGAGGCATAGGGTTATGGGTCACCGTAATGCGGTTATGCATTAGCTTGTGAGTCACCGATGTAGAGATGAGGTGACAAAAAAAATGTAAAGGGTGATTACAATTGGATGCAACGTGCTGTTGACATGCAACAGAAATGTATATTGGTAACTTTCATCCATCAAAAGTTCTCCCTTATGTAGAGATTAAATTTGAGGTCTTTGAACAGAAACACATCGACGCATTTGCAGTGTTACTCCTCCAGTATAAAGGTGATCTGAATATTGTCTGACCTTGGGGCTAACTCATTAGTAATTTTGAAAATAGTCATGTCACTGATCTTATGTTTATTGTAGCCTACGACTGACTGATACGTTTAACCTGAATGCCTGAATACGAATCTCTGAAGACGAGCTTGTTCACCACTCTGTTGTTTTGTTTGAAATGTGTTCTGTGGGACTATTTCGACAATGCCTGAACAATCAGTTGAGCGCGGCGACCATCTGCGGTACATATAGTACCTCACGTTATGTCAGGTACTCTGTGACAAGATCGATTCACACCAGTCGATCATATCCCTATATTGGTCTGTCCGCATTGCTTGATTCATTGACTACCCAGCCTGACCGCGTTGTTTTTTCCTGTATCACTTGCGCCCGTTATTGATTTGCTTGTCTGTTTACGTATTGACTTCCCCGCTTTCTCTTCGGTGCGTCGACGGGGGCTTCAAGCGAACATACTACACATGAATGTACTCTAATTTATTACTCACTCAAAGGGTACAGACTAATTTTGTTTAATTTGAACAGGCCACAGAAATAATCGCATGTCTCCGTGAATTCTGCTGTAAGCAGAAATTCATTCCAGCATGTTTAATTTAATTAAAATCATTAAACATGCAAGAGAGACTGGCACGTGAAGAGGCATTAGATTTCATTAAACACAAGCGTTACTGTACCACTTCTCCTTCCGGTAAAAAATAATTCAACTGACTAACCTACAGTGAAAGCAACATTTGATCAATCTCGAATTCCGATCATCCTCAATATCAATTTGTCGCTGGAGTGCAGTGGCCAGCGACACGTCGGATATTCAATGTTCAAATCCCTGACTGGATAGTTGGTATCCACTGCCGATGAACAGGAGCAAAACCCGAGTTCCAGGTGGTGTGATTGACTGGATAAATTGAGGATCGTGCGTGACAGTAAACTGTGAACGATGGTCTGGCTCAATCTATACGTTCGATTCCAAGCCATTACTGAAAATAAGCTGCGATTTCGGGTTGTGATATTAAAATGACCATTTCCACACAGTCGACTGACTGTCCTTCCTGAGGAATGTGTATGCTCTCATATCAGAGAATGGCACATAACTGACATGATGTCTAAAACCTGTTTGATAATCCAATTTTTATGGATGTTCCGACCGTGGATGCTCCGTGGTGTATCACAAATGACAGCATACACCAAAACAGTTGCTTATATTGGGAAGAGGTAGAGGCAATCCCGTGGTTTACCAATATTGCTTAATGTCCCTTTGTTAGATGAAAGGATTTACTGAATACAGTAGATACCCTGAACTGGTAATAAATTGCAGTGATAAACCTGTAGGTTTAATCAATAATGAATAAGTATATCTGTACCCAGAATCAATTACTGGTAGATCAAACGTGCATTTTTTGAACAACACGGAAGCTGAGATTTGCCCAGAGTGGATAGAATTATAACGGAAACTCGGAGAATGAGGGTAGTTGAGGTCAAAAATAAACACATTTTGGTATCAGTTAACCGTACTAATAAAAACGGTAGTATTTTCAATGAAGCGATACATACACTAGTACTAGACGAAGTAGTAGAAATAAAACAAAAATGGATATGTCAATCGTGAACTGTGTTTATTCATATTTCTGTGAGTTGCGATTTGCAAACCAGGTGAATGACAAGTAGACGTCAGCAAAACTCTGGCCTAATATTTTTGAATAACGTCCAGTATTTATATAATTTGAGTATCTCAGTTAGTACTCAGAAAATCAAAAGGAAAAGTGTTCACATGATCCATCATTATTTTTCTTGACCGAACAAAAATGCATATCATCCATGTGTCACAAGCACTGATGAAAACAATAAAAGACTATATCACTAACCTGTACCGACCCTTTTCGACCCAAGAACTTGGCTTGATGTCCTCCTTCGTCCTGATCAATCGAGATCAGCATTTTGTTCTTTAACAGTTTAGCCGACTCTTCATTCAGTTCATCCATTTCAGTAGACATAATCAGCGGTGCAGCGAACATGCACCACAATCCCATCTGGACTCGCTCCTGATCACGTGACAGTCCGAAATTACCCAGCACCAACATGTCCGGATCGTTCCAATGCCCGGGACCGGCTAGGGGAGCAAGCAACTCGGATTGTTCAACATACTTATTGATGATCAATTGCACATTGTCCCATCGGTCGTCTACATCGAACAGCATGCGCCACATATTACAGTTTTTTTGTAATTGTTGCCAGTCAATCAGTGAATGATTCATCTGCCAACCGATATAAGCCGGATAGCTGCAGGAGAACAGAATGGGGCGACCGGTTTTGTTCAACTGTTTGGCGAATTCCTCATAACCCGGTGCCATTTTGTCCAGCGGTGCAAAGCAACCGTCCATTTTCACATAATCTGCTTCGAACTTGGCAACCGTTTTGGCATCCAACTCCAAATAATCCATGCTTCCCGGATAATGTTCACATGTGAACGTGCCGTAATCCAGATAAATACCGAACTTCAGATTGTTTTCATGGAGAAAATCCGCGATCGCTTTCATACCCTTTCCATTAAAATGTAAACAAGAAAGTCAGAAGCAGATGGATTGTATCAGCGCGACGTTATTTATACAATTTCATATGGCTGAACAAAATATTATGTTCGTGAACCAGGGAAATACCAGCATGCTTCTAACTGTACGCAAAATTACGGGGGAAATACGGGTATTTTGGATAAGACTGTCATAGGTTTAACCCGTCACAAGCGCAATTTTGAATAGAGAACTTTGGTGTACATCAATTGAACAGAGATATCAATTTAAGCAATTATCATCAAAGAAGATTAGCCTGAATAATCAGTAGTAACTTCATGAGTGAACGAAAAGTCCCAGAAGCCTATGATCGATTTCTTGATCCTTCCCGTTCAACTGGTTGCCCTGGAAAAAGTAAAATTTATACCTGTATTATCGATGTGAATTTACCAAAATAAACTTCCTTTTCCTTCACAGTAGTTAAAAATCGGTACAGGTTAAGAGTAAAGTTGGGCGCAGCCCCCCCCCCGCCCCCCTCCTTTGTGTTGTTGTGTCGTGTTGTCCCTTGTGATTAGCGATCCTGTCTGCGTCTCGCGGGAACCCACCCAAAAAGTACTTTTGTTTGTTTTTGGAAAAGTGAGTTCATTCGGACTGGGTGGGGTTGAGACAGATCCGGTCGGTGACGTTTGACGGCGGAAACATCAATCATCTGTGGGGTTCCCATTGGGGTACGATTGGTTTGATTCACATGAAGTTACAACGGATTCGCTTGAAGTTGAAAAGGCATATGTTGCCCAGAATAGTCACAATGCAATCTTGACTACTTGAATGTTGATAGTAGTTGATAGGTTTGCGATTTATGTTTTGTGTTTTCACCAAGGCTTCCACTAGTGCGTTTCTTCACGTAGATTGTTCATTAATTAGGGAAGTCAATAAATTCTGATTCATTTGAAATCAACAGAAATTAATCTTTTGACGTAAACGTGATTTTTCAATACTGACTTGAAGAAAGTTGATGCTAGGGCAGTTTCAAATCTCGAATCTTTTGATGTTGACTTTCATTTAATTGATATTTACCACCTATATGAGCAATTTATTTTTTCCTATAATCTGCAGTTGTTCGTCTAAAAACTGCACTTCCCTGCATATAGTTACAGCTGAAGCCTTTCATGTTACGAGATGTTTGTTCTTTCTTCTGAAACAGTCCTTTCCCCCTCTTCTGTTGACTAGTGATGATTACACAGCCGATTAGTTTTCTTTGGAACCCTCTTTTCATCCAATTGAACTATGGTGCGAATTACATAAAATGTATGTCTTCAGTTTTTTCTCGACTAATTTCATCGCGAAGCTCAGATGGGTTCCCTTCTTCGAAAAGAAATGTCCCAGAAGTACGCTAACATACTGAGGTCGCTATACTCACCTCAGGTGGAGTGAGGGACTTCAACGAACTAGGACGGCGGTTCGTTACCAGCAGCAGCGTTCGTCAACTGTATTCTAGTTCTCGATTCTCTTGCAATTTTTTTGTAGACGTAATTCAATTATCGGTGTTTACTTAGGTTAGCCCAACCGGGATGGAGCAAACGAGTATTATGAAGGTAAGCCCTCATGTGTTTGCGTGTTTACCGGGGATGAACCTGCCAGCTCATCAAATTCAGACTAGTAGGCTTCGCTGGCTAGGGCACCTATTGCGTATGCTCATCGGTCGTCAGTCATACTGCGCTTTATTCGCTAANTAAAGCTGGTAGCAAATGAGTGTGTGTGCAAAATATTCAGTGGACAACAAGCCATCGGATCGGGATAAATGGATGGGGCAAAGCCAGGTTGTGAAGTGGACACAATATGATAAATGTGAGACAAGAATGAATAGAACAGGTGTGAAAATGTTAGAAAAAGACAGTAAATGAGGAAATGGGGAGAATGTAAAAGGGGTCAAATAGGGCAATCACTCTTATGGCCATGGTAACAGCAAAGTTTCTATTCTGTCCTAACTGATATGAAAAAATACCTAATAATCTGTTCTTGCCATACCCCGTGATTCACTGGGCTTGAAACACACCAAGGTGAGAAAAAAATGTCAGCTGCTATTGATTTACTCTTGTATTCGATTAAACTGTCAGATGTCAATGGGTGATCACAGGTCAATTCACACACTTTCTGGATGGTCTGTGTATCTGGTGCGGAAAACCGACCACTCTGTTGCGAACATTCGCTGTTCATTATTGATTTGAATTGACTATCTATTGGACATTAACTTCACGCACACTCCTCAGTTCATCAATTCAACTATAAGCTATTAAGCATTAGACTTGAGTTTCGGTCTTATTAGAGCTCATCAGTAGTGCATATCCACCGTCCCGTCCGGGAATATGAATTCCGGACCCATTGCATGGAAGGCTTGTGCGTTACCACTGTGCCAATCAGCTCATAACGTGGCCGAACCAAATTGTCATATCAGGTTTATTCAAGTGTCGTCTTTAGTGTTCACTGGTCGTTAAAAATAAATCAGAGTTATTAATCATTGCACGATAGACTAAACGAAGGATGATAAAACAGATTTGGTTCGACTGAAAGCATCAGGTTTGAGTTTTCGGTAATCGTGCGAACAAATAAACCGTCTTAATCCGCGAAAATAAAATCCGGCACCTACCGTAAAATCGTTCCATTTTCGATGCCCTATCTCAGACAGACATTGAGCAGCTTTCGTGTCTCCTTAATTACAGTAGTACCTCTAATTGTGCCAAATGAGACAGATTTCTTTATCACACTGCATCATTCTGGATTGTCCCTAATACTGCTTTTCCTGTTGATGTGTTTTACTGTTAGTGCTATAACTCTAAAAGACCAGTCCTGGCTTGGGGAGATTGAATCATCATGGGAAACCAATAGGATATACAAAAATCGGATTTCACTATGCAAAATGTTTCATCCGGATCCGGTTATTCTGATTCCGATAAAACACTGGGCAATTGAAGGAACACTCCGACGGTAGCACTGCTTAATCATTAGTTCCGATTTGCAAAACACCAATTTGCTCTAGCAGGGCATGTGCATTTATAAAGGTTGCCAGAAGCCAATAATCGCATTGTTTTGAGCAGTTCAAACATACTACGCAGAAATGTGAGTACTACATCAGAACACTCATGCCCGGTGAAAGCGAACCCGATACACGTCGATCACCGACGTCGTTTTTATGAAAATTTGGATGAACCCATCCGCAATTGAAAATGTCGGTTGGTTTAATGAACGACGTTTGCGGATCTGATCGGGAGTTGGATTTTTGACGACTCCTTGTTGTACGGCCATTCTCCTCTTGCCACCTATTGCGTTTTCTATAACGTACATACATGGTGTCACCTATCTCCAGAAACATGTACACAGGCTGTTCTTTTATCCATTTTGTCCTTGAACTTTGCAATCTAGAGAGTAAGCGCTTTGAGCTATGTACCCCAACACGGCCTCCGACATAGTGCTTGTGTTTGCAGCCGACACTGTTAGAAATACCCGCAGGTTTCCGTTTCACTTGTATTCTTGCTTTGCGATCTGAAAACAATTCTTCCTGCGGAACTTCTTTATGAAATCTGTTAGTTATAACACACCTACAGTTCTACCCCCTTTGACTATTTGTTTCGTTCTAGATGGTCCTCCGGAGGACCCTGCATGAAACACAGAGACTTCACTAAGAAAGCACAGCCACGTCCAAATTCGAAGCGCTCGATCCACTAGAATGAACAGGACCAAAGCGTTTTACAGGAGATCTATGACATCTGCGAGCTGCTCTTTCCAGAAGCGTCGCAATGCCTCCTGGAGGTCGGCTGGGTTGTCGATAAATGTTGTTGTTTGGGACTTCAGGATCGGGCTTTGAAAAGAGTAGATTTAATTTATCGCTTGACTTGATCTGAATGTTTTCTTACTTGGACAGTGAGAATGTCTAATACGATTCGGGTGCACTTTAGATGCATGGAAACTGAACACAGTTCTATGAGCAATAAGTCATTTCAGGCAAAATATACGTGAATGATGTACAATTATCAACGTACCGAGGGAAATCGCTGGGGATCCGGTACAAGCTCGGATGTATGCCTATCGCGAAATTTCATCGGCCAGCAGTCATCAATGATCACGTACTCATAACCGACCTCACGGAATCCGTCTTCGACCAGGCGTTTTGCGTTTCGCCTGATCAGACTGTCACTGATGCAATCACGGGGATACGCACTGCAGTCAATTTGACATCTGTACCGTTGCCATGTCATCCAACCCATTGGAGGTTTGAGAGCCAGCCCATTGTCTAATCCATAGACAGTGGCCGATAATCCAAACCACAGCGTCCAGTGCAACAGAGCCACACTCATTACGGAACTGTGTCTCACTCGCTTTAAGAGCAGTTGCTAAAAGAGATAAATGTTAGTACGCTTACTTCATTAATTCATCGAAATTAAAATCTAGCGAAATAACTTTTACCATGGAAGCGATAAATTAGAAAACATTTCAAGCAAACATTACATATGAAACAGAGCATTTTGGTTGTAAAATAAAAGTGTTCAAAAAGTACACCGTTCTCTTCCACTTGAAGGTTACAATTCATGCAAACTGTGCCATAATCAAGTGAAAAGTGTCTGAGGAGAAAGGTAGATGGCTTCAAGATAACCTACCTAAATAGTGAAACACACTTACTCTATCATGAGCGGATTCGGTGTTCGTATAAAACTTATCCTGTGACGAGATCGACGATCGCTCGCTTAACTTATCCTTTTGACCAGAATCTTTCGATCAATAACAGGCTACCTGGGTTATTTATTATTAATCCGTTCATCTAATTAATCGATTTATTTTGTTCATACTATTCCCAAATACCAAAAACAAAATGACAAATTAACTTTGGCAAAATATTGCACCAACTTCCGATATGGAACATCCATCCAAGTATTTATTCTGCATTGTAAATCTATAACCAGAGAACTAAAGCTAAATACTTGTCAACGTCATGAATCACATGACTATATATGTCCTATTACAATGACTACCAATGGTTCACACAGCACAGCACTTTTTCTCCCTCTCGTTCATAATCTATAGACCAGCGCTCTATATGTGGGCCATTTACGTACAGCTTGTGGCGTGCTCTGTGCTTGTTATTAGAGCAGCAAAATGGCCCTGAAAAATCAATGCTCGTTCTAGGCTTAGCGCCGATTTTAAAGTTCATATTTGATTACATGAGTCATCGTGATTTGGCGTAGACCGAATCATTTAAAGGGGAAATGACGTGTGCCGCACGGGATAATCAATCAAATAGAAACAAATCATTTTCACTGTTTATACTGTAAGATTAGTCGGTTGAAATATCTCAAGTCGAATAATACTATCCAACTGGTGCTCTAAATAGTGAGATCACAGTCCGATTTGTGAAATAAAGATCACTGTGCACCAATAAAGTCATTTAGTTCATTAAGGGCGTGAAAATTATTTTGATTTACAAATTTAAAGGAGATAATCAGTTACCGCATAAGTAATCTTTATATAGGATGGAGTTGACATTAATTTATTTTGATTCTTGTAATAGAACTAGAAGTGGTGTTCCCAAGTTCTCTTTCGAGGTCGCAACTCTAGAGTATGCATATTTAAATGCTACCCCAATAGGAATCTGGGTTATTGAAGAGAAGCCAGTGAATGTTTGGTTCATTCTGTTCTTCTGGAAAGACTTATAGATTAAATGGAACTAAGAAGAAAGGCCTTAGGATTTACTGGCGGCTGGCGAAATGCGTTACGTCACTGCACCGCCACATATTTAGAGAACGCCCTCTGGAAAAACTACAGTGCGTGCTTGGGAACTATAAACACCCATGGCGGCTTTTTTATTAATTTTGAGCCCGCCTCAATGACCGCTGTTCAGCAGTTTGATGGTCGTTAACCTGTGCACTACTTGCAGATGCGCAATTATCACCAACCTCAGCTCAAAAGTTTCATATTGACACAGAGGAGAGTGTTTCGTTAGCTACAGTATACGCTCGATGAATTCAACTTTTGAACAAATTGTATCGTCTTGTCAACTAATGTGGATGCTACTGAGAGCACTGGTGGTGGTACTACTGTAATCCATCTCATACTCGTGTACAACAGTGGAATTTGGGAACTATAAACCCGAACGTATAACATGCATATGCCACTGTTGTCCTAAATGATCTACGCAATAACTTTGGCGGATACATCCAAACGAAGTCTATGTATTGAATTTTTTTCATTTGGTTACTTTGAGCGCATTTCTGTAACGTTTGTTTTCTCCATTTTTGTACTTTATTCACCATTTAAAATGCTGTAGTCCTAACTAAAATATATAATATGAATCTTAAGCGTCCCATTATGTCGCCAGTGTACGGGTGAGTAAGTGTGAGTGTAAACGCGTAAGCAGGTAATCCGGTCAGCAACAAGCAAAACCTTACAAGCAACCCGAATATGGTAAAGCTGGGCAGTCAAGCCTTCAACGCGAACAGTTCAATACTGATATATGATTGATTGATCTTGTCACGGAGGAAGCCCAAATAACGTGCTTTCGTGGGGGTGTGCTAGCAGGTGGTATCTTCCGATTGACCAATCCGGCCGGAAGCATGCACGACAAAAGTAGACTAGCCGAGCTCCTCAAAACACATGTTTGGTTTTGCTAAAATGTGGTCGCATTTCACGAAACTTATTTAAAACTTTGGAAAATGCTGATTTTTACAATTTATCAATACACAAATACTTTTGGTTGGCTGGCTTAACACAGGTAACCCCGAAACGATTTCATCGTACCCATCGAAATCATGTTTACGTTAGCAACGATCTTAGAGATTGTCCACAAACGATTGCCACAAGCTGAAAGGATAAATATTGGTAGCTTGGATTTTATTTTTCATACATACCGGCGGCTACGAATTCATCGGAACGTGGGAACACATCCTGGCACATCTAATTATCAGAAACTCAGAAGCTCTACCGACAATGATAATGACCTGATTTCATGACTCTTTCAATGGCAGTTGTGTTCAGTCTGATTGTAAAATACTTGGAATGAAGCCGAGAGAAAACGTTGCATATACGGTTTTTCTCAGGATATACGAGGTATGTACTGCACACAATGGAACTTAAAATAAATAAAACCTCACACTGTATGAAATCACTTTGCCAATGTGATGCAAAAACCATTCATATGTAGTGTAGCAGTGTTCACCCATTTATCATTTTAAACAATATCATCTGAACTGAGTCATTAGAGCGATTTCCAGGTGCAAAACAACATTTCATGGCAATCATTGTTTTCGATTGTACAAGTTTTTCCCGGCTTCCCTGTTGTCTATGGTGCATAAATTCAAAGATAATGAGATGAATTTACATAAGACATAACTATGTGAAAGTAACTCTCAAGAAATGCACAGTGCTCCATTTGAATTTCATCTATAGAAGCAAGCACGGGCATCATCAGAGAATAGGCAACAGACAACCAATTCGGGTAAGCGAGGAACAAT